TTGCTGCTGCTGCAGTGGTAGCGCAGAGGGGAAGCTGGGAGCCAAACAGCTGTGCGTGTAGAGAAGCAGTGGCCCGAGAGCCTACGGCTCAGGGCTTAGGGTTTAGGGTTTAGGGTTTCGGGTTTAGGGGAAGCTGCCTATAGAGAGTTGTGGGTTTTTCCCATTTGGCGGCGACCCCTTGTGCTCCGTTGGCGCCCAAGAATTGGATTTCTCGGAATTAAATTTAAGGTTGAGGGTTTAGGGTTTAGGGTTTAGGGTTTCGGTCGCAGCGCTGGAAAGTACCCAGCAACGCCAGCAGCAGCAGCAGCAGCAGCAGCAGCAGCAGCAGCTTCAGATCCAGAAGTAGCGGTACTGCTGCCGCGCCTTTCTGCGCAGCTCTGCGCTGCACCAAAGACACTCGAGGGCCCTCGGGGGCAGCAAGTTGAGCAGCTCGGCGAAGCTGAGGGCCTCCGGGGCCCCACAGCGGTGTCTGCTGCAGCAGCTGCTGCTGCTGCTGCTGCTGCTGCTGGGCCTGTACCTCCGGGCGCTGCTGCAGCAGAGCCCGAAGAGCTCGTCCGCGAGCGCCCCCTGCGCTGCGTCTGCGGTGTCTGTACACCAGAGCTCCCGAAATGCTGCTTTGTCAATCTTTTTATTTTTCGGAATTTTTTCTTTTTCAAATATTTGCTGCAGCAGCGCCTTCAGCTCCCCACAGGCTCTCTTCAGAGTCGCTATGTCTTCCTCAAGTTCCAGGCAAACGCACTGCAGCTGCAGCGCCTCCTGCGCCCCCAAACCCTGCTGCTGCTGCTGCTGCAGCTGCTGCTGCGGCTGGGGGTTCTGCTGCAGCTCTGGCTGCTCTTCTTGCTGCGGCGGAGGGACTCGCTGCTGCGCTGCTGCTTCGGCTTCCGTAGAAAGCCCACCGGAGCGAGGCGTCTGCAGCACCAGCAGCTGCTGCTGCTGCTGCTGCTGCTCTGAGGTAGAAGTGAGGAAATCGCCGCTCTTCTCGTGCGATTTCGCCTCCGCGTCACTTTGGCTGTCGCTGCTGCTGCTGCGGCTGCGGCTGCTGCTGCAGCTGGCGCAGTTTGCT